TCTAGTAATGCTTAATTTTTAAATAAAAGTAATAAAATAAAGGAAAAAAATAACGATTTATATTTTATTAATATAAAACGTAAAACGTAAAATTTCTTTCATTATGCACGTAGTATAATTATGATAAACATGCGTTTTATACTTAATTTATTCACGGGCTGTTAATAATAAAGCTATATTAAACTTCACATACGTTTGTTTAATAGCATTCATATATTTCGAGAATTTATTACATTATAATTTATATAAACATAGACATTTTGCTTTTACACTAATAATCTAATTTAATAGCTACAGTATAGAGCTAGAGTATTTCTAGGCATGCAGTATTCCATTGTTATTTGGTAAAACGTGCTTGCGCAATAAACACATTTATACTCGTTACCTTGCGCGCTTCGTTATACCTTGGCATACTCATTCGAAACATCTTTCAGACAACATATCATATTCACTGACGCTTACACTTTCTCGCTATCTCTTTCACATAATTCGTTTATTCTTGTTAATTTACTTTCAGGATGTATTATTGGACATCCTGAAGTGACATTATTTGTTAAAACAAAAGTATTATCAGACTTTCATTGTAACATTGTATTTTAACATAATCTCGAAGATCAAAAATAACTTAATATTGAAATATTTTCAAAAATATTGCTATATAACTGATTTTCATAATCCGCAGAGCCGATGAAATTTGAGATACGTGTAAATATTAAAAAAAAAACATAATTTTTGACGAAAACATTTTTAATCTATAAAATTAAAATATAATTAAGACATTCTTTTACGTTATTAATATGTAGAATTGAAATAGGCGTAAATAAATATAAAATAAATTATAATTTTGGCGTCATACTACATTTAAAAAAAAAATATCTTTTACATAATTATTCCACAAATTTATATCGTTTGTTTTATTCAGATTATATTTTTAATTAAATTTTTTTGTTGTTGATATTTAAATAGACTAAATGCTCTTTTTAATTAACTAATACCTGCATGTGGAATGGTGTCAATTTTTATTCACATAAGTTCCCTAAACAAAAGCATTCGAAACAAGAGGATTTATTAAAAAGAAAAAATGAATTTATATATAAAAAATTTCTAAAATAAAATTTATTTTCAAATAATATCCATCATGCAGGAAACATAATATTATACTAATATGAATTATCATGTGTTGTTATCTAATACACTATCTAAATGTAGCAGTCTTAATGTCATTATATTAAGATCTTTGTGTTTGCACTCATATTAAACATATAAAAGTAAATACACATTTAGCATGAAAGTGTATTAAAAATTTAATTTACTTAGTCTATTTTGGTTTAGATTACAATTTTACAAATTGTCAGATATAAATAAATATTATATATAATTTTGTGCTAATAAATATTACATGCTAGTGCTATTCGCAGATCCATCTCGAAATAGTTTGTTAATAACATCCTTTTTCTATTTGGTTCTTATTTATCAACTTTCCTTTGATCACGCGATGTAATTAAATTCTTGCAATGGATTTACAGACGATAAAATAATTTCTTTGATTCTTGCACCGATTATTACAAAATATCAAAAGACAAAGAATATTTCATTTTCTTTATAGTCGTAGATTTTACGTGACAAGTATCTCTATTTTATACGATATAAATACCGAGCGCGATGAGAAGAATAAAGAAATTGCAACTGAATCGAAGAGATATTCCGAGAGATTTTCTTCTGTAAAATCAAATAAAAGATTTCGCTCCTATTGCTAATATCTAGCAATTGAGATACATGTGTCCTTCGAAGTGTATAATTCGATAACTCGATATAAAAACATTCGCCACGTTCTGCGAGAGAATGAAAGTCAAATAATATACATTTCAGTTGTATGCGCCAATCTTCTTCCTCCATTGATTATGAAATATGTTAAACATTCATGTCAAATAAATATATAAATATGAATTACAGGAATTCCGGATGACATAAAAGTATTACAATATTACGGGCATTCTCTTTTATTATTGTCCAATATAGATGCACAATTTGTGATAAATGTCATGTATTTCTTTGTATTATAATTTTGACATATGACATTAACATGTTACGCGTACGGATTCGTTGTAAATTACGTAAAATCATGGTAACGATTTTGTTACAAACGCTAGATTTTATTTCCCAATTGATAGGTTTTTATTTATAAATAACGTTGTATTATTACATAAATAAAGAAACGCATTTATATACAATTTGTGTTTAGAGTAAAATATACTCGTGCAATTTTCAATTCGTGATAACGTTGATTAGTCATGCTTTTGCAATTTTGCAAAGCACTTTAATGCTAAATGCGGAGCGCGCATCAAAGATAGTATAAATAATTAAATCATATATTGCAATGGATTATCGATACGACGAATGAACGTATGCTGGCTTACGTATGTTTATTTGTATTTCGTTGGACCAAATGTACAGAGTTGTAATACAAAATCTTTTTTCCGACAGGCGCTAACTTCGAGTGTTTCACAGACATTCATTCGAATGATAAAATCGACAACCAAGACGTTTATAAACATAAAAAAAGATGGCATAGGGAACTTATGTGACTATTAATACTAGTAAATCATATTATATATTATATCATATTTATATGATCACGGTACATTTATTTTTCCGTTTACAGTATGTAAAGAAGAAAATATGAAGATAAATAAGAATCTTCGGCTCTGGCTATCAATAGATGGATGATATCGTATGTGTTTACAATTTAAATATTTTTCACTATTTGTCCATTTTTATTATAAATAAAAATAAAAACACTTTCTGTGTAAAACTGAGTAAAGTCAATTGTGAAGCTAAGTAAAAAAAAAATGTAAAAAAATCTGTATTTCAATAGACAGATATCTTTTTCATCATATTCTCTCTTGCATGGCAAAAACTGGCTAATGACATGACAATCGTCAAGCGTGGCAGTCATATGATGGCAGTAAATTTCGAGACAAAACAAGCATGGCAGTCGTATGACGGCAGTGAATTTCGACAAAACTAAAAAAGATACGCAGGCCATAAGATTTAAATCGTATGACCGTTGAACGTTTAGCGGCCAAAAGTTACGTTTATATAAATTCTACGATTGGTACTTTCTCGCGAGGCGCACGCTAGACGGCAAGATCGCGTTAAAATTGTGAAGGACAATAGCGAAGCACGTCAAGAGATATTCGTTCGTCTTTTAAGTGAATGTATATGTTTAAAGAAAAAGTTTACATAACATAAGTATGAGTGAAACAAGGAAACGGAATAAATACATATAAATACTGGCAGTGGAAGATGCGATGCAATTATCCAAGGGAAAAATAGATACGCATAAATAGATGTAAGATAGGTACGTATTACGCCATTAATACGGGCTTAAGTAGTATACGAACGAATTACGCTTCTTGATTAAACTAATAGCAAATTAGCTTAGGTATATAAATAATGCGCTTATACAAAAATAATTACGCGGTTTTATATCGGTGAAGTCCTTGTTTTCGGATTACCGACGATTTCATTGACCTATATTGTTACATCCGTTCGCGATCACTTGATCGAACGTTAATATACGCGCGTTTCTCCATAATTCGTTTTCCTATTATCTGCTGCATCAATCTGAACGCAAATCTCTCATTGCTCCATGCAGCTTGTAGACTGCATTTTGCGCCTTGAAACGTAATATTAGGCCGTAAAATATAAAATTTCTGAAGAGCACACTTCGAAACGATACAGTTCCAGCGATCTCGATCGCACCATGTGATTTCTTGACTTTTTCAAAAATAAAGCTACATTCCCACTGCTGCTGTCGGTGAAGTGAGGTAAGAAGACGTTGATGGCTTACTTTCAATTAAGTTTCTTCTATGCTTAAAATATATTTTACATTTAGTTAGACACTTACTTGTGATCTATTCACGTAATTGTGACTCTATATGTCGATTCTTTAACGGCATAATTGCTTGTCCCCTCTGATTATCGTGTTTATTACGATTTACAAGCGGCCTAATATCCATACTAGCTAAAGATTGTGCAGTAAAGTGATAGCTGAAACGCTAAATTGGCAGCACTGCAACTAAACTAATGAAAAAGACAAGAAACACATCGTCATTCTCTTTTATTTGCCTCTATTTCGTTTATTGGCTACGACGACATTGCTCGCGCGCGTGTATTGTAGCCAAGCGAAGTGTATTGAAATCAAACAATTTGCGAAAAAGTATTGTAGCCATTCACACAAACATCTCTCTCTCTCTCTCTCTCTCTCTCTCTCTCTCTCTCTCTCTCTCTCTCATTCGCTATTTTTCACATATTTATAGATCTTCTCTTGCAAAAATTCAAAGACCATTGCTCAGTAGATAGAAATAGCTATGCGATCAAAGATTCGCATTTTAGTGTAAAAATTCGCTGGAGGAAAGATAGACCTAACATGGATCTAAATTTCGCGGTCAACCATTTATAAATCAAGAAATTACGATTGTCACTAATCTCTATCGCTATGTAACATCTTTTTATAAATACGAACAACTTTTGGGAACAATAAATTTAATTTAAAAGATTACACAGAGAGATTAGACATATAACTATAGTGTAATGATGTTGCTTTACAAGTACTTCAAGTAAAAGTACTTGCTCAGATAACTTTTGTTTTAATTGAAATATTTTCCAAATATTTTCGTTATACAGTTAATACGTTTTCTGAACAATAATTTTTGAAAAACAGATTATATCGAGAGGCTTGCATCAAAGTCTCAATAGAGATTACAACGGAAATGTATTAAACAAAAAGCGGCGCGTATATATCCTATAAGAAGATTACGGAAGCCTATTTGTATGCAGCCGCGAATCCCCTATTACCAGTTAGGTCCATTCCGCGCTAAATCAACGGCGTAATCGTACGCACTCGTGCGTAACATTACGAACACGCAAGCGCCCGCGTGCGTAGTCCGCGATCGCAAATATACGGACATATTGTCCGCGCGCGCTCGCGCCCACCCTTCCTTCCGCGCCCGCGTTTTCATCGTTATATACCTATGTCGGGTCATTATATATACGAATAATACCTAGTATACGTTTAACTGCTTCGATATCGATAGTCCGTAGCTATATATTACGTACAATATACTCTTGCTTCTTCTTTCTCTCGTTTTCTTTCTCTCTTTCACTCTCTCTTTCTTTCTCTTCTTCTTTTTTTAATAATACATATCACACTGAGCCAGCTATATGTGTGTCCATCTAGTTTTGGCCTGCATTTCCTCACGCACTTTCTCGTTCACGTACGTTCTCGCATGAGGATGCCGAGGGCACATCGTAGCGTTTGCCCTCGTCGCCCCCGTTGTCGTTCCTTTCGTCATCTTGGAGGACACGTGAAAATACGCTCGGGAGTGCTGCTTCGGATCCGGGGGTTTCTTCTCGGTCTCGTTTTACGTTTCGATGCGCGCCGATGAGACTTGGGCCGCGATGCGTCGACTGGCTAGTAACATTTGCGGGTACACGTGCACTTACGCACCAGGTCAATGTCCTTAGTGTACCGCATACCATCCGCGCAAATTAATCGAACCTGAAATTAATACACAATTGTTTATAATGACTACATATACGATCGTTATCGGCATAATGACAGGGGAGTCGTTGCCGCCGGTCTGGAACTTAATGAATATAATTGCAATAATTGACGCGGCTGCTTCGAATGATTCGTGCGCGATCGATCACTTGAGAAGATGAAATAGTTCACTTGCTTTGTCCGATCGCGACTAATATGGAATTTAATATCAATTAACAAGAGTGAGCTTTAATTTCATCCTGCTGTGCTGTCTATGAGGAAAATAGGAATAGGAGGTTCTTATAACATAAACGTTGATGCAATATTAGTTTACTCCAATTTGTTATGTGGAGAGAATATTCTTAGTCGATTGAAAATTATAATAGAATCAACGCAAATGTTCTGTCAAAAACCGAATAATTCACAAATCTTTCTAATCGATATATAAGTGTTTTTTATACCTTGCGCCGTTTAGTCTTCCGCGGTAAACAGCAAGAATTGCCGCAACTTCCCCAACATTTAGCAAGCTTCACGGGTCGCCGACTCCGACATCCATTCTCACTATAGTACTCCCTGGTATGCTCCTTGCGACAGGTCGGTGCTACGATATTGATATTAATTTTGTTATCAAAAGTGGATGAGCAGTCAAGCGGCATTATCAATTAAATACACATATATATATATACATTCCATTCAATGATAAAAAGAATGTCTTGAAAAAAAAATATAATAAGCTTATTTTATAATAAATATGTATTCGTAATTTATAATATACGATAATATTGAGGGAAGAATCACCTTTCTCGCAGTATCGTCCTTGCCAGCCAGTTTGACATCGACAAGAATAGCTGTTACCATATGGCGACGGTATGCATTGAGATCCTTTTTTGCATTCATGTCCGATACATGCATGTGAAGGCACCAATCCACTTACCGACATGATGACATCTATAATTAATATATATTTTTTATCAAGAATAAGATAATAAAGATTTCATATTAATTTAGAATAATTTCTTCTAACTTTTTAATCGAATTTAATATGCAATCTTGTATTATATATACAATAATTTAACAAACTTCACAAATGTAAGATGTTGAGTCATTATGTTGTTCAATTACTTATATACATATATGTACGTTAATTATAATTGTAATTAAATATATAAAATTTTCTTAATTAAATACATAAAATTTTCTTAAAAATTTGTCCCAATGTTATTCGTAAATAGTTTAAAATATTTTCAATTAAAAAAATTCAAATGTGAACGATTCTTAACTTAATAAGTCAAATTAACATTGTATAAACAGCAATTACAAATATTAACCAGAATGTTCGCGAGGTATGTGTTCTTGTGGGATGATCTCCTCGTTACTACCACTACTGTTAATTCCCTCAGCTTCAACAATATCTCTCGCTTCATCGGCTTCCTCCTCGCTAGCAGCACATCCGGGAGTAACGCGATGCATCTTTGCGGCGTTGCTGAAGTCTACCAACTTATGATTGATCCACATCTCGGAGATGCAGCCTGAGATAAAGCAAGGAAACTTTTAATGGATCTGGCGAGGAAGAAACTTTTGCTCTATTCTGTATAAAGGGTGATGGCATGGAAATGTGTACCGAACGTTACAATTGAGTAAGAGTATAAGTGACGCAAGCACGTATTCGCGCCTGCATAAATTCTCATAAGAAGCTACGTTACGCTCAACTTCAGTGATTGACGTCAACGGTATACTTTCATTGTTGAAATAGTTTCCCTATCTTACAATACAGGAAATCCAAATATAACTAAAATTATACTGTATGATGCAGTCCGATCACGAATTTTCGCATTGTCGCGAAACTTTTCAAATCTAGTTTCTCTCGGTTACATATCGTGCTACATATTATTTCGTACACTATATGCAAACGTAGTAAATCGTAGTATTGCGCCGGGGGACATCAAAAATGTAACCGAATATTAAATGAGGTCTCCGCAAGTTGCAAATTTGTGGCTGATATTCCGAGTTTGCGACAACTATCGTTTCCCAGAGGAACCGCAGAGTATCGGTGTTAGAACTAGCAATGGTGTAGAGCACAAATCATCCGTGAAATCTTTGAAATATTCCTAACCGAATGATTTTGTTATAACATTATTATACAATCTTTTTTTATAATTTGCTAAATAAATGTAATTTAAAGTTCAATAATTACTTTCATGAAAATTATTATTTAAGATAATTAAATAAAATAAAGACTTGAATATTCGATTTATTTCTAAGTCGTGGTATAAGAACACGTTTCTTTGCAATTTATTAAATTCTATTCTATTTTTTCATAACGGCGGCACTTCTCTGTCAGTGTCACTTATTAAAGTTATAATATAAGAATGTTAATTAATCTTAGAGATATTTCTCAGTGTCGTAAAAGAAATTTACCTTGAAAGCTCGTAATATTTCTAAGATGAAAGTCGGTAAATGCGACTTTAGCAACTTCTGGCGCTACGCCACCGACGAACATTGACGTGACAAGCTTGAGATACTCTTTCGGACCCTCGTTGATGATGCTCCTGGCGGAACCCCGGTCGACCCTCATTGTGAAATTTTTCTTGATCGCCAGAAGCTCCGCCATGTGAGGCTTGCCATCGGCCACCATCTCATAGCTGTACATCGTTGAGGTAGGATAATTACCCACGTCGTACGAAACTCTGACTCGCCCATTAAAGAGCTCGACAGCGATGTGTCCGTCGTTTTGTCCATCATAGAGAAGAACCCCGTTTTCCTGCGTGGTCGTGAATATGATGGTCACGTTTGCCTCGGGCCTCGTGCGTAGCGGTTCTAGCTCGACCAGCGAGCTATTGTCCACGAAGCTCAGACTCGTCAGGTACTCGCATCGTTTTCCTGAAATAATGGATAAGTGGTTGCACCATGTTAAATTATTAACAAATTCTTGAACATCACACATGATAAAAGGTAATAAAAAATTCTCAGATTATGAAATAAAATTGATTGGGAGACGTCTTCGAACGGAGAAATTTCTCAATAATTACTAAAGATATTTAACAGAAGACAATGATTTTTTTTTTACTTACCGGTATAGCCGGGATGGCACTGGCAAAGATAGTCCGCGGCGGAGGCAGGAGCAGGCTGGAAGCAGGCACCGTGCTGACAGTCGTGGTGGGCACACGGACTTGTCTGTGGATACAGCATGGCTGTCGAGGGTGCAGCCTCGCAGTATCTCCCTGTATACTCCGCCGCGCACTTGCACTCATAATTGTTTATGCCGTCAATGCAAGTAGCACCGTTCTATGAAACAAATGAATTACAATTTACAAAAGTATCAATTAAAATTTGAAATCAGGAGTGAAAAATACAGCGCTGATAAAAAGGCCTTTAACACCTATTTTCAACAGTTACATCTTCAACAGCAGATTTTCATTAAGAAATCTCCGAAATATTTTTTACAAGATTATAAGAAAATTTATAAGAAAATGGAAAAGAAAAAAATCGACGTTATAATATTGTCATAAAAAATTATAAAAATGTTTATAATTATGCCTTATAATGAAATTTTAATTATGATTTTTAAAATCCAAGAGATTTAAAAAAATATATTATATGTAAAAATAAGAGATTATGAAAGTGAAAATAAACTAAAATAATAATCTTGATGTCGATGCATTTCTAATATAATCATCTAATTAATATCAGCCAGTAAGTTTACGGATAAGATAGGAACGCGCACAAACTGGATGCAACTAACTACTAGCATAGGGTTACAAATCATCGAGCGGTCCGCCAGTTTCACATGCCTGGTGTAGAGTCTCAAACTAAAGGCCATGTATTCTGGAGCTTAAGTCACATATGTGCAATAATATATCCCCCCTGCGAATTACACGTGCTAATCTTATCAATGGTTCAAAATTCTGCTCAGTCAATAGAAGCAATTCGATGTTCAATGTTATTATGTAAAAAAATAATAATGTTATTACATAATATAATGATTTAAATATGTTAATCATTATTATAATTAAGATAATTAATAATAGCGTAATAAGTCTTCCAATTAAATTACATGTAAAATGTATTGCAAAATGTTACTATTAAGTTATTTAACTGCATAGGATAATTCCGACAAATATGCCGCGCTGAGATTTACTAGTCAGAAAAAATAAAAGGAGTGTGTGTAATTTTCCCGCAACTACTCTCTTACATGTCTTATGTTATATTATAATATTGTGTTATGATTTCAATTTCTTATTGTTAACATTAAGAAAATTATTGTAAGTTGAATCGATTGTTACTGTAATAAGTAACGTCTTCATAAATTATAATGTATGTACATAAAATGATCATAGAGCGTGTAAAAAACTTAGTGGTTATTCGTGATACATACGTGTAGTGAAATAGTAAAGCAAAATACAAGTGCTTTGCTTTCGTATTCTTTATTTAGTTTGTTATCTTGTATATTCCACCTGTTTGGGATATACGACCTTTTTAACGAGCGGGATTTATGCCCAAAGCATACAAAGTGCGCAGATTGAATTCAATACATTAAATGCAATAAATGAAATTAATGATGCATTACATGAAATATGTACCTCATGTCATAACACTTATTATATATATATATATAT